ATCGTCCTCGGCATCTACTTGGGCGTGATCCTCCACATCTGCCTCCGCGTGGTCCTCGGCATCCACCTCCGCGTGGTCCTGCATGTGGTCCTCGGCCACGGCATCTGCCTCCGCGTGGTCCTCCATGTGGTCCTCGGCATCTGCCTCCGCGTGGTCCTCCATCTGGTCCTCCGCATGGTCCGCTGCAAGGCTGTGGTGTGCAGCAGCGATTGCATCAGGGCTGGGGATTCCCCGCCTGAGGTGCGCATGGTTCACGAAGCTGATCGCAAACTGGTTCACAGGAACACCGCCGGCAGTGTGCACAAAGGGTTCTTCACACTGCTGCTTCGGGCAGCTCTGCGCAGGCTGCCAACCATCAGCGTTGGTCTCGATGTTGGTTCCAGTCACTGCGAAGTGGGATGCCAGCTGCTCAAAGATGCCCACTTCGCGCTGAAGCTGGTCCTTCTTGCTTCCTTTGTTGTGTGCAGCTTCAGATGCTGCACCGAAGCCGAAGTGAACTTCCATGTCCAGCGTGCGGATCTTCTTCATATCTTCTTCGTTCTTGAGGAGATCTTCCAGGACGGACCACTCAGAACCCTCGACATCAATCTTGAGATGCGTCGACATCTCACCACGCCCGGCGAGCAACTCGGCCAGCGATGTGTACTGCCGCTGGTTGACTGTTTCGTGCTTGGGGCCAAGGCAGACCCGGAAAGCATCGTAGTGGGTCTCATAGCAGTGGTGCGGATTTCCCGCACATGAGCCCTTTGCATTCGGAGCGATCATCGCCAAAGCGGGCGAAGACTTGGGATTCTGGAAGCAGTCGTAGAGTTTCGTCGGCATGTGAAAGTCATTGCTCATGGTCTCGCTCCAGAGGTCCCGCTCCTCAATCCCAAAGGAAAGACCCAGCTTGCCGTAATCACCCTTGAAGGCAGCCAGGCACCAAGCCGAGTCACCGAACAGCTTGAAGCCGCCGCATGCACTTTCGGTGGCTTCCTGGTTTGGATGGGCTGCCATCAAGATCCTCTCTCCCAGTTCGACACGCCAGGACTCGTTGCTCTTGTACGGCCACGTGTCGGCCACAGGCATGCAAGGCACGCCGGTTCGGGAAGATGCCGGACAATTCGGAAGGCATGCTTGCTTGCAGGTCGGACGATGCGCTCCAGACTTGTGGTGATCTTCATGCTCGTGCATCTGGATGGCGATGCTTTGCTGCAGCAGAAGCACACCCACCAGCGCTCGCACCGCCATGGCTGGACACCTGCGGCAAAACTACGTTGGGTTAACTACGTTGCTCTATCAAGCTGCGAGCAGGTAGATGGCAAGTAGGCATCGCACCGACGATAGCACAGCATGCTTGTCTGACTACGTTGGGGGAACTACGTTGCGCCACACATGGCGAGATGCGGAACTCTCTTGTGGCAAGGTGATCTCCCAAGGCCCCCGCCGTAGCGCCCACCAAACTGTTCGTTCAACTTCACTACCTGCCACTGCCCGCTCGCTGTTGCAAAAAGTGCAGGTGGCGAGAGCCGTAGCCGCCTCATGAGTTCCCCTCTATAAGCAGTGCATAAGCAATGCATAGAATAGATTCGAAATGATTCGACTTTTCGCCACTCGCGGAGCCGAGCTCTGGCATCGGACATGAAATCGTCGCGCAAGCCTGGCCGAGTCCGAGGGGCTTTCGGCTTTCGCTTGGAGAAGATTCGCTCATATCCGCAAATGGGAAAACAGATACGTGCTGGTACGCACATCCTAAGGCATGTCTGACGCTCAGCTGGGTCCAGTTGCATAGCCGAAGCACGAACCAGCAGTGGCACTGTTTCGGTCGGAGAATGTGACAGGGCATCTGCCACGTGACCTCAGGTGGCGAGCATCTTCTGTGCACCTTTACACAGGAAGCGTACGAGTCGTACGAGTATCAGTTTGCGAGCCAGGCTTCCAGGCGAAGCCATCTTGTCGGGGCTCACATGACTTCTCACCCCGATGCGTTCAGCAAAGCCGCTCAAAGTGAGGGATGTTGGCTGCAGACTCTGCCGCTTCACATCACCAAAAAGGCGCCTTAATTCCAAGAGCACATGCTGTCATGCCGCCTGCGGATTGAGGAGGGGCCAGCACATTGATGGACAATGTTTGCAATTCTCGCTTGGAATGTCGGGTCCTGCAATCACTGTAGGTCACTGTCATGATCGTCTTGATTCCCGCATCAGGAAGGGGACCGCATGATCCATGGTCACCATAAGCAAGAAGCTTATCTATTCGCGGGTGCCAAGTAGTGCAATTGAAGGCGCAGGACTTGTTCAGAGAGCCCCGAGCGAAGGCATGCCAGCATAGCCTGCGGCACTTGAATTGCAATTCCACCTGCTTTCACGGACCTTTTTGGACATCAATGCGGCAGTAGACGTGCAGATGAGGCCGTCAACAGCTGGAGTCAGCTTGACTCGGAAGCGGGGCATTAACATGGAACTCTTGATTTGCCCAAGTTGATCAACTACAAATCTTAAACAAAAGGCTCCGGGCTTTCAGAGCCAAGTCCCAGCCCAAGAAGCACGGCGCTGCTAGACTGATTGTGAGAACAATGAGCCAGGATGGTCGCTGACTTTCGTTGATCAATCAGGCCGGGCAGCGGTGTTCAAAGCAATGACGGAACTCGGCAGTCGCTGCGTACCTTCTGTTTCGCAAGACATGCCAGGCAGCTGCATCAGGGGCAAAAAGGCTCAGAACTCACTTTTTGCTGGTGAACTCTGGAATCACGCCTGGGCCCACACAGAACCGAGGCGCAGGTGAACCCTGTTCGTTTCCCTGAACCGCCCCCTAAACCCTCAGCCCTAAATCCCTGCACCCCCGGTCCTCGAATCCTTCTTACTGTAGACCACCTGATGACAAACGTGCCCTACACCACTCTTCTTCCACACAGCCAAAGAGCAGGCGGTCGACCCCACCTACTCTCGCGCGTTGCCTACACCACTCCCTCTCTCTCTCTCTCTACCAGGTGGGGTCTCTCTACTTGTTTTTGATTAAACCCCTGATAGACCCCTGAGAGACTCCTTACAGAGACCTCTAAGAGGTGTACGGCATTCCGGCCTAAACGAAGGGGTCTTTGCAGCATTGGTCGCAACCATTAAGCTTGTGAGGCGAACTGTTGAAATGGATATCTCTGTTCCGGCGTGTTGTGACTGTCGGCCGAGCACCCATGGTTCGCAATAGCTGCGACACCCTCCGCCAGGAGCCTGTCCGCCGGCAAACTTCTAAAACCTTGACGAGGGTCAGAGGAGGGGCTGTTGAAGGAGCATAAGAATTGACTTCTTGCCTTTCCAACAGAACTTGGAGATATCGTGAGGCCCGAACAGCCAAGGACTGATGCCAAACGAAACTGCCTGGTAATTATTGCCTGGTACTCTACGGTTACCACCCGAGACCACAACATATAAGACAGCAATGTCAACCCATACTCTAAGGGTCCAACTTTCCATGAACCAACTCCTGCCATCGTTGTCCTCCTTTAGGCCCCTTGCACAGTAGATGTGCATTATTGCAGTTGCTTGCTTCTGCATGGAAATGAGGTGCTTGCGATTATTCCGTCATTGCTCAGGCAGTTCAGCCGTGCAACGCAGGTTTGCGACACTTCCGTTGTCACGGAAGTGTAACAGGTCTACAAACTGACCCGGATTTCGGCGGCAAGTTTTTGCAGTGAAACCATGTACTATGACATGTAAATGCCATCGACAGCTTGCATTCAAACGTCAACGCTGCGGTTCACTCTCACCAGCTGTTCGGACAATGTTCACCTTCCAAGGCACCGCGGAGTACGAGACCTTAGAATGTTTCTTGTCAAAATTACAGAATGACGGCGCATCTCTCTGCTGCCCTCCCGGCTCCTGCTTAGCAACGGCACGAAGACTAGGCTACATCCAGCAAGTAACTCAAGCACAAGCAGCCTAGTGCGCTAGCTTCCAGTCAAGCACAGCTACTCAGTCTCGCAGAGTTACCACCGAGATTGACAAAGACAAGCGTTTAACAAGTTTGACATCTCCGATGTCCATGATCGTGTATCAACGGCTTGAGTTATCGCTCAAGCCAATGCGGCTGCATCGTTTAGGTTGGCCTGCCTGATTGTAACTTGGAAATCTGCCCGTTCAGAGGGGCCTGCCCCTTGGAAGTTGGAAGACTGCCCGGCGCCCGATCACCGCATTTTGGGGTGCTGCCCATGATCTTGGAAAAATTTGGCGAATTGAATTGTAGCTGGACCACCAAAGTTCACAAAAGCTGTCAGCCGGGACGCTGTTGAAGGCTGCATCCCCGCATCTATACAACAGCGCAGAAGCTGCAGGGCCCGGCACCACGACTCGACTCCTCTCAGGTGCGGCCACAACGGCAGAGGCTGCTCAATGCAGGATGTTTCTGCGAGTCTCTCATGATGCAGATGGAGAGAAGGATGAGCTCCGAGTTTGGCTTGGCACTCGTTCTGTGTCCTGCGTGCATGCATGCACTCATCGCTGAGCTGAACCTGAGCTGCTTGGGCCGTGAAGTCTGCGGCTAAAGTCTGCACTTGTCCGGTCTCTCTTTGTCAATGTCGCCGCAGTGTAACTGCTACACCGGATGAGTTGGATTTTCTTGCGCAGTGCCGGAGTAGGGGCAGGTCAAGGCACGCAAGCCTCACATGCACACGAATCCACATCTCGAGCTGCATAAATACAATCCTGAAGCAAAAACAGCATCGCCATCCATGCAACCTTCATCATACCTCTGAAAGCTCTCAAGTTTGAAGCAAGCGGCAGCCATAGGCCGCTTCGCTGCGAGCCGCCAAGGATGTGGAGCGCTCGCTGCCAGGGACCGGCCTTCTCACAGGCCTCAACTGAACTGATGAGTCACTGATGAGGGGTTTTCAATTTCAACGGGTCTCTCCTTGCATTGCAGGCTGCGTGGAGGTTAGTCGGACATGTGCAATCATCCAATCCTCTGTGGCCGTGATGGCCCACACAGACTCTGGGAGATGCCTTCTTCATGGCCCTACGAGCATGATGGATAGTCTGATGGTGTAGTTACACAAGTTCTCTTGAAGATAAATACACCGATACTCAAGCACACAATGCAGGCAAAAAGATAAGCATGACCACGACCACCAGGTTCACAGTACAAGACGCGCAAGCAAGTAGACCGTAACACACCTTTCTCTCCAGCTTTGCTGCGTCCACTCGCTCATTACTTTAGTCCCTCCGTTGATCATTTCATATCAGATTTGAGGCCATGTGGCCCTTCACCCACAGAGGCCGGTCTGTAGCTCCGTCGTTGTTGCTGCTGTTGTTAACTAAAGTCTAAAGCAGAACCGATGCTGGGCTATGCCTGGCTCTCGACAACATGACATGCGCTGACCCCATGCCCCACGCTTTAGTCAGGCAGGTTGACGTCGACCAGGAGCTCAGAGCAAGAGGGCAGAAGAGGGCAGGTCCACTTCACGTCCAAGCATATCTCCGCTATTGTGCGGCCAAGTGGCGCTGGCGACGGCTGCCCAGCTCACCTCAATGACGGATGAGGAGAGGCCTAAACTAGAACACACCGGATACGATACGCCTGTAGCTTCCGTGAAATCATACAGTAGCTGTAGCCTCAAACGATCTAGCTCGGCTTATGGCCTTTTGTATAGATCTTAATCGAACCTGATGTCCAAGGAGTCCGCGTGGCATCGCTCGGTTTCCACCGACATTCCCCCGCCATTCCCAAGATGCGAAAAGAGAGCTGCCACTGCAGACCCTTCCTGAGCTATGTCGTGAAAGCTTTTTCGAGTCCTGTACGTTCTTTCTTACATGAGCCATAACAAACATGGCTGCTTGCTGAAGAGATGGTACTACAATCTCGAGAGGTACCTTCGTGATCCTTCACGCTTGCTTCACGCCGAGCCGAGGACACGATGCAAAAGCATCCCTCGCGGTCTCTTCTGCACATACAATCGCAGAAGGAAGCCAAAGGTCTCGCATGCTGAGATGGCCGGGTTGAAGCTCGCGGCACCGATGTCACCAGGCCTTGCAGTGACTCCCGCTCTTTGTGTCTGCAGACATGCCACGCTGCAAGCAGTCGCCAGAAGCATGCTGACTACAACAGACGGTGCAGTCCGCCTTCCATGAAAGTGTCTAAAAATGCGGAGAGTCTGTTCCCAGCCGCTCGATTTCTCCTCAGCGCACTGAGCATTTCCAATTCACACCTCTGGTTGGTCGACTGCCGGCTTGAGCCAAGGCACGCAAGAGGTCATGGCTGTTCGGAGACAGATCGGATCCAGCGGCTTTCGCAAGAGAACCGGGCTCCTAGGCTGTGACCAGTCGGTAAGCAAGTAGGATCTTGCAGGCTCTTGCGAAATGCGGCCAGACGCTACCAGCTCCGAGGAACACAGCCAACTCTTCCTCATTTGACTCCAAAGGACTGCGCCAACAGCGACAGGGCCTGCAAAGCGCAAGACACAAGACCCAAGCATCTTGGCAGTTTGGACTCGGATGTATGTCTCGCTGGAAGTTCTTGTCTCTGCCAGCATGCACAGCAGAGAGATGGCCTTGGTCCAGCTCAAAGCAGCCATGGCAGAACCCAGGGTGACATGGTCCACCGAACCTGCCAAGCAGATTAGGATTTTGAGGCGATGTCTACCAGAAACACATATTTCATTGTAAAACCCCAACGACCTGACAAGTCAGGTCTCGAGGATGCCTCTGAGTCGCCATGTCGCTACATGAATCATTCGCCGACCGTTTTCGCCGGCTGCCCAATGCTGCGTTTCAGCTCAGCCGCCTCCACTAGCTTGTGATTTGCAGAAAGCCCACGATCGCCCTGAGTTGTGCCTTGCTTGCATGCTTCCGAGGCCAAAGCCTGGGCAAACCGCCAGTCGCCCAGGGCAGCTGCCTCATGGAGCATGAAACCATTTTAACCGACTGTGAAGGAAGAAGAGAACCCATTGTACCGTGCAGCTCTATCATTGATACATGAACAACCCTTGCCGGCGAGGCTCTGCAACAGCAGCATTTCGAGCAACTGTGTTGGCAGCGAGACCTGCCGTGCTTCACAGAGCTGTGCAGTAACAGTATGTGCGCACTCACTGGCTCAAGGTATGCAGGCCGTGGATAGTTTCTGTGGCCAGTGTTGCATGCCTCAATTAAAGAGTAGCATGCGAACCCAGCGCCCAAGTTTGCAAGCCGCTAAGCCTCTCGCCGTCTCTCATCTACATTTAGACAAAGTGAAGCAGCAGCATGGCCGAGGCTTCAATTCCTCGAACCTCCTGCCTTGCTGAAGTCAGTCAAGTTATTCCTTCGCAAATGATCATACTCAACCCTATGAATGCACTGCGGACTGAGGGTCTGAGGGAAGAACCGGCTGATGATATGACGTACTCGAAGTCCGATGAATTCCCCGGCTGAAGCTTGCCTCTGTCGCACCAGTGCCGGAGGGAAACCAACGAGGTGGCCCAGCGATGGGTAGCCCTTCCAGCACTCCTTAGCCAGGAGCCTACCAAGTCCAGCTACTCTCTAACGCTTGACCGCGGTACCTCGAATCCCTCGACTGAGCCGGCCTTGCAGTTGCATATGTTTTCTGCCGCGGAGGTGCTACAGTATGACGTGCTCTAGAGTAGGGTCTCATGTTCACGTGACCTGACATGCAGGGCATGCCAAATGCTATGAGGAGGCAATCCAGTCCCGTAGAATGCAGACATGTGGACCTCCTGACGGCTAGATAAACTGGAACTCCGATGAAACAGCTGCGCAGGAGCATGAGGTCCATGCTGCAGTCTCGTTGGCCGGATCCAAAGCCAAACGCACTCTTCGTAACGTCTCACGGCCAAGATTCATCACGGCTGTAACATGAAAAATGTTGACTTCCAGCAGTCCGTGTCCTCGGCAGCCGTGCCGTCTCACATCGTATCAACAGGACACTCCGGATCAGGCCGAGTATGCTCCAACGATCGAGGTCAGACTGCATCATTGCTTTCAATCGCTGAGCCTTTCGAGATACTGATTTCACACAGCCCGATCATACTATGCATGTTTAACCTGCAGAGCCCGACATGAAGACCACCAAATGGAGCCCTGCACTCGCCATGCATCGCATAGACTGCAGGACGAGCAAAGCCGTCGCCAGGCGCCGCTTCTTGGCTAAGCCTGCGAACTAGACAAACATGGCGAACCTGCGAACACTATCATTATCAGTATCAGGGATCATTTCTGAAGATGGCACGAACATGTACGAAAGGAACCGAGTCTATCTAGAGTCTCAGACACTCCGGCGAGTTATGGCAGAGTGACCAAATCAAGCTCCAAGCTCAAAGCCTACAATACCAACTGTTGAGTCATGGATCTGGAACAGCGAGCAAGAGATTCCCTCGGCGCCTGTCAAGGTCCATGTAACCAGACGCGGATCAGCAGTCCACTCTTCCCAGTTGCAGGCCAGCGCGCCTGTCTGATGATGCTTCGTGATTGGTCTTGCCACGTGTGTCTGTGAGTGTGACCTCCAATCATTCTGGACACAAGCTCGTGCTCATGTCCTACTGGCATCTTTGCAGAATTATAGTGCTTTGTATGACTGGCTCGGCCTTTCACTCCTGATGGATGCAAGACTCTGGGGAACTTAAAGAGTTTGGCGCCCGTCTGGGCCTGCGACCTACGAGAACACAGCACCTGCCCTGCCAGAACGGAACGGAAAGGTTCTGCCTCCACTTGAAGTTCTCAGCACATCGGATCACAGGCTGGTCTTGGAGGGGTCTCTGGCGGGGCCGATGTTTCAGGGGCCTACTTGGCCCTGAGCCTGTTCGGCTTGGAACGTCCACGAGCGATGCACTTGTCGTTCTAGCTTGTCTACTTCGTCTGCACAGCATATTTTTCAAGCAGAGAGTACAAGGTCAAGCGATTTCGAAGCTGCATCGCTCGATCTATGCTCAATTTGCTAGTGGGGCTGCCTTGAAGTAAGCTTGCCCCTAACACTACTGATGTCACCTCCCCAGTCCTTTTGGCCCCAAGTCACGACCTCGCCATCGCTTCGCAAAGCAGCAAAAGCGTAAGCCTCAGTGCACGGATGTGTGCTGCCAGCTCTTGCATTCCACAGCTTCACCAAGCTCCACTGCTCAGCTGAGATGCCGAGGCGACGATCTGCCGGACGTTGGTCAAGCGTGCTTGAGCTGAACTGCTGTCGCCACCAGCGGGAACATGGCCCCAGGTCACCACAGTTCCGTCAGACCGAAGGGCAGCAAAGGCGGCCCCTGAAGCAACAACGTCCCTCACTGCAGAAAGCTTTGCTTTGACACCAGAGCAGTCTCCCCCAAACTGCTGGCACCCCCACGTTGATACACTTCCGTCTCTGCAGAGTGCAGCAAAAGCTCCGGAAGTTGCGCACACATACTTCACGCCATGCAGCTCCTCCTGTACGCTCACACAATCTCCTCCAAATTCCGGGGCACCCCAGCAAACGACGTTTCCGTCTTTTTTGACAGCCGCGAAAGCGAAGCATGTTGAAACAACATCTGTCACGTCGTGAAGTTGCTCCCGCACGGCAGTGCTGTCGCCTCCATAGGTTCTCGAGCCCCAGGTGATCACCCTACCATCCTCGCGGATAGCCGCGAAAGCACCTGCAAATGTGCTGCTGCAAGCTTTGATCTCTCGAACACAATAGAGCTCAGATTCAACTTCAGAGCTGCTGCCACCCAGCTTAGGGCACCCCCAAGTTCTGACGCGTCCATCGTGGAGAACAGCAGCATATGCACCGGACATGGAACCCTGGCAAGCAGCAATCTGTCGAACGTTGCCGAGCGGTGGTGGGGCTGCCATACTGCGTGTGCGACCCAATAAGATCACGCTGGAGTCAAACTTGATTGCAGCAAGACCATGTGGAAACACCTCCAATTTTCGGACCTAAGTGCATCTGGAAATTCAATCTCGGGCCGTCGCTGAATACTTAGGTAGGGCCCGAGTTTGACGACATGCTGCCTGCTGCAGGCTTTCGTGCTCCCCATGCCAGCCTGAAGAGCCCCACATCACCTGAACTGGCTTCGGAGGACTTGCTTGGAGCGTTTGCCGTCGAAAGCAAAAACCTGCCTCTTTAGCCCCCTTTCTCAAGCAAAGCAACCACAGTTCCATCCAAAAGGAGTGCAGCTTGGGTGTATTCCGCACCGAGGACCGTGTCAATGTCTTGTAGCTGGGCCTGGGCAGATTGGAACGGCGACATGCATGCGATCTCACCTGTTGAGACCGAGACTGGATCTAGATCGAGGGTTGACGCATCGCAGGAGTGACGCAAAAACAAGGGCGGCATGATTCGGACAAGAGAGGGAGAGTTGGAGCATGACAGAAGCCGAGGATACAGCATTTCATCAAGTGCCCATGACAGTGGCTCCCTTCTGCCCCTTGTGCCACGCTCTCTTCGTTACCGGCTCCACAGCCTCCCTGTGGCCCTGTGCTGCCTTCTCGTAGCCAAATACAGAGGATTACAGAGGTATGCCAAAGCCAAGTCCCCTTGTCATGCCTCCCGCCCGATTCCATGCGGTCTCGAATCCGGGAATAGCAAAGCTGTAGGAATGATTCTGAAGATCGGGAGCGATCATGCCTGTTCTTCTAGCGGCTTAGACAGGGGTTTACAGAGAGGCCATGGCACACGACGCAGCGAATTTTCCTTTCACACAACGGCTTGTCGAAACTGTTCAGCTCTAGCTTCTGTGGTGTACAGTTGAAGCCTGAGCATGAGTCTCAAGGTAACTGTTCAACTCTAGCTTCTGTGGTGTACAGTTGAAGCCTGAGTCAACATCAGTTCGCTATACAACTTCGAAGGCTCAGTCATCGGACTTAAACCAAAGCGCAACAGGGCATACTCAAGCATGGTTTCCATCACATCAACACTCCTCCTTGCTTGCCGCACGCCGCGACCAAGCACATTGCCATGCTGCACTCGGTAGCGCTCCACGCCACCCTGAAAGTTTCGGATGATTGGCCCAACCCAAGCACCAACTCAGGCGTCCTTCCACTTTGAGATCCAAGCAGACACTCTGTACTTGTTGTTGATATCCTCCCATCGAAGTATGCACTTATACTCCAGGGCCTTTGCACGCCACAAGAAAAGCACGTACTTGAGCTGCTTGTTGGTCACATCTGTCCTCACCAGTCTTGGTAAGAGCCTCTCGGCCACATCGTTCTTCAAGCCAGACACTAGCATGCCTTCCAGGCGGAGAGCTGACTTCAGCTCTTCAACTCGCATCAACATCAAAGTGTCCTTAGCAATACGGGCCCTCTCCTCAAACTCCCCTCGCGTTGTCGGTGGGGTAGAAGCACGTCTTCCCGTAGGTGGGGTCACAGATCTCGCGATAGAAGCCGAAGCACTTGCCATAGGGACCTGCGGCGTCGTAGGCATACTCAATGGTCTCTGAGGTGAAGGTGTCCTCGGGGGCGTCCGTGGGGTAGTCGGTGTTCTCCTCCTCAACGTTGACGATCTTACACGCTCTTCTGCTTGTGTTGCTGCAATCTCTTTCTTTGCTGTCGTAGATGCAAACTGGGACACTTTCTCCAGCCTTTTAGCCTTTCGCCACCTCTTCTGCCACCGAAGAACCCTTCGATAACAGCAGCGTAGGCATTCCCATCCACAGACCGCAACGATTGCAACACCAACCATCATAATAGCCACCTCGTCCCAAGTCGTTGATGGTAGAGGGTCTTTTGCTGCCACTTCTTGCCCCCGGGCCGGACATATACACTGTGCTATCATCATCAACACTGTAAGAAGCTTCAACTTCACGGTCTCAAGCAAGTTCACCGAGAAGCCCACAAAGCCCCAAAGACCAAGCAACTGTTGTAAGCGCGCTTTAGTCTGCATCTTGGTTGATA